AAAAAAAAAAACGACAGCTGGATCCTACATGACCAATTACTCAGTTCAAGTCCTGGACCCAGTGGCTTGAAAAACATGCTGGGCACGTGTGCATTCATGCCCAATGTCCCGCGGGGATAAGAGGAAAAGGACATAGTCATGACACAATACTTTTCTTCCATTTCTCCATTCCATCAGGATTTTGGCATGTGCACACATGTTCCCAGCATGTTTTTCAAGCCATCAATCTATACTACACTGCCTCATGTTTGTTCAGTACTGACAAGCAACACTGCTCAGCCATATGCACTCAACTGTTCTGTTACTCAACTAATAACTCGCAGTACGCTACAGAAGGATGGACATGTGTGGAGCTGAAAAAAAAACAGCTCTGAGACTCCAGCTAGAATCCCTGTTTCATTATTATTTTTTTTTTTTAAAGAGGTTTTTTCCTTGGAACTGGTATGGTGGTTAAGAGTGCTGGGACCAGCAGTTAGCGTAATGGCTATGTCGCTGGACTCCCACGTAGTCGACCGCAGTTCGCGTCCTGGACCCGGTGGCTTAAAACTCACGCTGGGCCCGTGTGCATGCATGCCCAAGATCCCGAGAGGAGAATGGAGGAGAAGGGATTGCGGCGTGACCATCCCCCCTGGGGGGTGATTTCTCGCTTTCTGTCTCTATGTCTCTCTCTGTCTGGCGAGCACACATGCTCTATGCAAAAAATACCTCTCAAAAAAAAAAACTAAAAAAAATTTTAAAAAAAGAGCGCTGGACTCCCACATGGCCAACTATGGTTCAAGTTCTGGACCTGGTGGCTTGCTTTCTCACTTTCTCTTTTTCTCACTCTGTCCCTGTCTGGTTAAAATTTAAACGAACAAACAAACAAACAAAACAAAACAAACAAACATGGCCGTGCCGCAATCCCTTCTCCTCCATTCTCCCCTCAGGATTTTGGGCACACACACACACACACACACACACACACACACACACACACGTCAGCATATTTGAAGCCACCAGGTCTAGGACTTGAACCATGTTTGGCCATGTGGGAGTCCAGTGCCTTAACTACCATCCTACCTACTGGCCCCCTTATTATTGCTTTTTAAGTTTTTTTTTTTTTTTATTTCATGAGTGAGAGGGAGACAGGTACCCCCCCACACACAGGGTCTTCATGCTGTATTCTACATGGTTGACTGCGGGGTTTGAGTCTCAGACTGGAGGCTTGAAAAAATATGCCAGGTGGGGGTGCATGTGTACCCAAAATCCCAAAAGGAGAGTGGAGGAGAAAGATTTAGGTATGCCATAGATATCCCCTCTGGCGGTTGCTTTTCTCATTTCCTCTCTGTACCTGTCTGATAAGTGCACATAACATATAGCAAGCTTAATTAATTAATTGCATTTAAAAAATTTAAATGACTAAAATGTATTTTATGTACATTTTGTCACAGTTTTTAAAAAAAGAGTACAAGACCTGGTTGCATTTGCATTAATTGGTATTTTTTAAAAAGCATTTTAGTTCAGTGCAGATGGTGAGTGTCTGATGGTCATTTTGCTTATTCCCATATGCCAGTCACCTACATCGAAATACATATAGTTCTATTTTTCCCCAGAAACCTTTCATAATAAAAAATATTCTTAAATAATCAGCTGCTTTATTGACTTTATGAACTGAAATTTTTAATTATTCTCTGTTTTTAATACTGTTTAATGTTTTACTTGAAACTACAAAAATGCATTTCACATTTTTTTTAAGAGAGATTTTTGCTATAGGGCACATGCACTAGCAGGAGAGACAGAAAGTGAGAAATCACTTTCAAAGGGGGATGACCACACCACAATCCCTTCTCTTTCATTCTCCTCCTGGGATCTTGAGCACACATGCACATCTGCCTGGTGTGATTTTCAAGCCACCAGGTCTAGGATTCGAACAGTGCTCAGCCATGTGAGAATCCAGCGATGTGACTGCAACGCCATCTGGTGGCCCCACACATGTCTTTAAATGGTATCCATTAATCCCCACTGTGAGAAGTGTTGAAATTAGTGTATTTCCTTCTTCTCCTTCCTGTCCCTCTCTTCTAGCACCTGATTTTAATCAGTTTTATTGTCTTTCTTAATGTTTGCTTTTAGACTTTGAATGTGCTTATATTTGACTTGATTTGTTAGTTTTTAATGATCTCCAACCCACACCGTAGGAATTAACAGAGGAAACCAGCGTACTTTCTTCTTTGCTGCTTGGCCTTCCTGCAGGCTTTGTTGTACCGATCCACCTACTCCAAGAACATTGCATCTGTTCTGTCACCCCAGATCCCACTTGGAGTTTTAGCACTAGACCTGTAACTAGGAGATCCAGCACTCCTTCCTTTTGTCTCACTTCTCTTCTGATTGTCTGTGACTTGTCCTCTAGTGGAATCCTCAAAAAAGAGTCATAAGAACAATATTCCTTGATGAGTTCTTTTATGTCTTAGAGTTTGTTGCTTTAATGTGTCCACAACAGCTTGACAAATATGCTTGCTTTTGTTTATTTTTTAAGGTTTTTGTCATAGGGCACTGCACCTGCTGGAGGGAGACAGAAACAGTGAGAGGGAAAGTGAGGAATCACAGGGGCCGGGCAGGGATGGCCATCCTGCAATCCCCTCATCTCTACTCTCCTGTTCAGATTTTAGGCGTGAATTCACAAGCCACCAGATCCAGGACTCCAACTACAGTTGACCTAATAGGAGGAGTTCAGCGCCCTAACCACTAGACCACCTGCTCGTCCCTAAATCATGCTTTCTTTCCTAGAGGATTTTTAAAGTATAGCTTCATGGTCTTCTAGGGTTAAATGTGGAGCTACCCGAGGCCAACCTAACTGTTCTAGTGACTTGAACTTGAATGAGTATTTTCCACTGTTAAGTTCAAGATTCTCCATGTGTTCCTAGACCAGACTTCTTAAATGTGTTGTTCAAAACTGCCTGGTGGAGCCGGCAGGTGGCAGGTGGTTAAAGGCACTGGATTCCCACATGGCCAACTGTGGTTCGAGTCTTGGACCTGGCGACTTGCTTTCTTGCTTTCCCTTTCTCTCTCTCTGTCAAAATTTAAAAATAATAATAACAAATGGAATTAAATAAATAAATCATTCTTAAAGAAAAAAAATGTCTGGTAAATGAAGCCCAGTCATGGTGGCAAGAGGTGGGGTAAAGGAGAGGGAGGGGTGCTTCTTGTTGGCTAAGGCTTCAGGGGGACCCGTCCAGTTCCCAGCCTAGCCTGGACAGGCCAGGTGTGGTGCCGCACACCTGTGGTCTTGGCTGGCTGAGAAGCTGGGGCAGGGTTATTATGACGAGATCCTGATAAAAATGCCTGTCTCTCCTTTTCCCCCTCTTCTTTCTCTCTTTCAAAATAAAACAGCAAAACTTCATGGTAAAGAAGCTGTTTAGTAGACAAAAGCTTTCATCTTTTTGTCTCTGTTGAATTTTGGGTAGTTTCTTCAGTTCTAATCTAGTTTATCCTGTTATCTCCTCAGCAGTGTCTAATTTTATATTTATTCCATCCACTTAATTTTTAATTCCTGTCTTTTTCATTTAAATTTTTTTCTCACTGTCTTTTTTTAAACTTTTGTTCTAGTTTCTCTGTTATTGATTTATTTTAAGCATTCTTATTAAATAAACTTACCTCTAGTATCTAGAATTTCTTGAGGTATTGTTTATATTTTCTGATTTTCATCCCTAACAGATTGCTTCCTTTTATGTTTACTCTGTGGTACTGAATTGTCCTGAATCCCAACAGCCAGTACGGAGGGCGTGGTCCTTGGGCATGAATTTGCAGTTGTCCTACTGTGTGTTTCAGAAATATCACAAGCTTAGAGCTAATTTTTTTTAGAGAGGTTTTTGCTATAGGCACATGCACTCACCAGACAGAGAGACAGAAAATGAGAAATCACTCCTAACGGGGATGTGTCCACACTGCAATCCCTTCTCCATTCAACCCTTGGGATTTTAGGCACACATACACATATGCACCCAGCATGAGTTTTAAGCTGTTGGATCCAGGACTTGCACTGTGGTCAACCACGTGGGAGTCCAACAACGTAACCGTTATGCCATCTGCTGCTCCCACTTACAGCTAATTTTGAGCTCATGTCTCAGCTTAGAAGTCCCTAGACCATATAGGTAGGGTGAACTCAAACCCCAAACCTGCTTGAGGACAGGCTTCTTGTTTCTGTTTGCCTCTGCAGCAGTACAATTGCATACTGAGTCCTTTGGCTGTCAGAGTCACAGGACAAAAAAGACTACCATCAACTATAGCATCTTCATCTCATTGCAAGGCCTAGCGGATACATAAACATATAGCCTCTGCTACCCCTTCTCCAACTTAGGGTATGTATGACTGTCACCCCTGAGATTCTTAGGTGTCCGTAGGCCACTTTAATACACAAAGCCCACAACCCCTTTTTTCCAGCAAGCTTTTATATTTTATTGGTCACTCCAACCCAAACAACAGAGGCAGCACACACTGTTCATCTGTTAATTCTCTCTTTGCCAAGGAAACTGTGCTTGTGAAACCAGGGTCATTTGCAGGCTAATGTTTACCCTTTATTCACAAGATCCCAGGTTGAAAACAGCCAGGTATTTAAGGAGGGTCCTCAGTTCTAACTTCAAACCTATACAGTCCCACAGTTTTTTTGTTTGTTTGTTTTGTTTTTTCTGCCCTGCATAGACATGAAAATCACTCCTAGGAAGACTGACTGCCCCAACTCCTTTACCAAAGGTAGCCACAGTGTCATCCTTTGTTGCTGGCCCTGGTAATTCCTCTTATGTCCATAAGAGTTCATTTCAGCTCTGGATTTCAAAGGATGTTTGCTCTACCTTATCAAGCATTTGTAGATTCTTTTAGATGTTTAAGTGTCAATGATAGAAAAGTTTCAGATTATCTTATTCAAAATATTATACTTGGGGACCAGCAGATGGCATAATGGTTATGTTGCTGTACTACCACATAGTCGACCGCAGTTCGAGTCCTGGACCCAGCCACTTAAAACTAATACTAGGCATGTGTATGTGCGTGTCCAAAATCACAAGAGGAGAATGGAGGAGAAGAGGTTGTGGTGTGGCCATCCCCTCTGGAGGAGGGGAGGAAGGGGTGATTTCTCACTTTCTGTCTGTCTCTGGCGAGTGCATGTGCCCTATAGCAAAAATCTCTCTAAAAAAAATTATACTTGAAGAAAGCTTGAAATTATTTCAACAATGCACACTCAAATTCTGACTCCACCCCTCTAGTGGTATAATTTTTGGCAAAGTACTTGGCCCCCTCCCCCAGACTCTTAAGTATTAATACCTCCTTCAAGGGGTTGTTGTGAGATTTAATTATTGTCAAGGGTACAGGTCAAACCCTTAGCATAGTTGACAACATGCTTCTGATCAGGCCTTCTCTCTCATCACTTCCCAGACAGACTCCAGCGTAATGAAGGACTTGTGAGTTTCTCATTTGTGCTTGTTTCTCTAGCTTCCAATCCTTTATACATAGCTTTTCTTTCTTTAAATGCTCTCTTCCTTGTTCGCCTTCCCTCTGACTAGTCTCACTAATCCTTTATGTTCAGCTTAGATGTCAGTTTCTCCAGGAAGTTGTCCCCATTGATCTCAAGCCTGGATTAGGTTCCCACGAGGTCTATGTGCTCCCGTAACACCTTACATTTGCCCATTATAGCTCTCAGCAGCCTGTTCACTCATCCAAATGTTACTTGAGGGGAAGAATTTTTGGCCGTCTTATTCACTGCTGTGCCCCCAGCTTCTAACAGAGCCTGGCACACAGCTCAATACATGGTAGCTATTATTCTTATCAGCACCTTCATCTGTCATAATTCTCAAATGTCTGAGTGTTGTATAAATAACTCTTAAGTATGCCAAGAAGCTTAGAGTTACGTTACAAGACTGACAAGGACAGGCATTGTTTCAGAGCCATATTTTAGCCCTTTGTTTTTCACTTATTGAATCATTTGCCCTTTTCATGCTAGGAGCTAACCCAGGAGTGTGAAGAAAAGAAATCCCAATATGATAGTTGTGCAGCTGGCCTTGAAAGCAATCGCTCCAAATTAGAACAGGTAAGAAGAGAGTTTTTACTGTAACAGCTTAGCAAAAACTGTTTAATGTACATTTTCACTACATCAACATCAAAAGATTCCCAAATCTTTGTCATCATCTCCTGAGTCAGTCTTGTCAGCTCCAGAGATCTTTATTTCTTTAAACTTACTGTTGTACGTACTGAGTGCTCCACCTGTACCATGACGACCATAGTCAGGCCTGTCGTCTCTCTTCTGGACTCCCACAGTAACGTCCCCCGTGGAAGCACTGTCACTGCCTTTTCTTGCCCTCCAAAGCTTTATTCTCCAAAGAACATCCAAAAAAAAAAAAAAAAACCATTTAAAATTCATATGTCCCTCCAATGGCTTCCTCTCATACTTAAAATAAAATCTAACCTCCAAACTGTAGTCTCCGAAGTCCCATCTGCCTATTAACTTCATTTCCATGTGTTCACCCCTCATCCTAGAGTCCAACCACACTGCCTTCTTCCTGAACTTCACACAGACCAAGGCTGTTTTCACCTCTGGGCTTTTGCACATGCTCTAGACTCTGCCTGGGACACTCTGCCCTCAACTCTGCACCTTGCTCCCTCCTTTTCATCACTCAGATCTCAGCCGAAATGTCAACCTGCTCCTCTTTGATCACCCCGTCTAACGCTTCCCCCTCTCATTCCCACCCTGACCCACCCAGTCTATCACATTCTGCTGCCGAGTTTTCCTCATAGCGCTCACCCCATTTGAAGTAATCTTATTAGATGTCTCCTTGTCCATGCCAGTTTCCTCTGCTCAAATGAGAGAGCAGAGATCTGCTGCTGTCCTCACTTAGGACGGTGAGAGATACTTAGTAGGTACTTAATAAATGAATAATTGAACCCACAAGTTTTAGAGTGATATGAGCAGTCCTAAAAACGATGGTAACCGACCCTGCTAGAGTTAACAAAGTTAAAATTGCACAAGAGGAAAGGACTCTGATGGTCGTTCTTTGGTTGTACATTTAAAGTCATCCTCTCTGGGTCTGTCTTATTCTTTCAATAATGTAATTCTTTTAAAATTATATTTTGTAGGAAGTTAGAGGACTCCGTGAAGAATGTCTTCAAGAAGAAAGTAAATATCATTATACAAATTGTATGATAAAGGTAAGTCAAAGTGCATCGAAAACTTTTCTGATATTTTTCTATATCAGACTATTTGAAACTTAGCTTTTGGTCTCTCCATTTAGAACCTGGAAGTCCAGCTCCGTCGTGCCACTGATGAGATGAAGGCCTATGTCTCTTCTGATCAACAAGAAAAAAGAAAGGCAATTAGGCAAGTGACTTTGTAGTTTTTATACTGAGTTACTAAGTATTTGGACCCTTTGAAGTTTTAGAAATAAGATAGAATTACATAAATTTAGAGTGCTTAAATAGCAGATACTAAGATATTTAGGACTAAATCTTTTAAAATCTCTTCTGGATATTTCTTACTTGCTTAATTTTTTATTGTGGTAAAAAATATGTATTACATAAAATTTGCCACTGCACTCTTTTTAAATTTTTTAGGGTTTGTTTTGTTTTGTTTTGCCATAGGGCACATACAGGCAAGAGAGAGACAGAGAGAGGGAAGGTGGAAAATCATCCCCCAAAGGAGATGGCCACTGTGCAGTGCCTTGTCCTTCATTCTCTTCCTGGGATTTTGGGCACATGCACACACACCTGGCATGATTTTCTGGCTATCCATGACTCAAACCACGGTCGGTCATGTGGGAGTTTAGCACCTCAAGCTCCACACTACCTGCTGGACCCAACCACTGTAACCATTTTTTTTTTTTAAGAGAGATTTTTGCCTTAGGGCATGTGCACTCACCAGAGAGAGAGTTTTGTTTTTTTTTCTTTTTCTTTTTCTTTTTTAATAGCCCTAGCTCATGGCATACTGTGCCATGTCAAATCCTGCCCAGTTATTCTAGATTGCAGTTGAGATACTGGCATGTAATCAGTGTTACAAAAAGGAATCTAAGAGAAAGAATGTCTTGCAGTTTGAAATTATATCTATACACACACGCACATATATACATATATACACATATATATTTTCAGTCTCGCAATACATTGCACTGGGATGTAAGCTAGACTGAAAATATCCTATAAATAGAATGTTTTTTTCTAATACTCTAACATATTAAGCTAAAGATGTACTTATTCCGATTCGTTCATTAAATATAAACTTGGCTTATATAAATCTATATGGTCAATGCTAGGAAATGAGAAAAGTTAATGTCGTTTTTGAAAAAAACAAGTAAAAAAGAAGTAAATAATTACTCCTGAACTAACTGTTGATATCATGACCAGTTTTCTAGCCAGATGTGGTTCTGCATCATTTTAAAAATCATTATCAACATTAATTATTTCATAGTTTTACTGTAGGAAAAATTGTGTTATGATTACAGTAGTACATTATAAGAATATTATACATAAAATGGAGTTGGTTACATTTTAAATGCATTAATACATGTTTTATTTTTCTTAAATGTTTGTTTATTTATTTATTTATCTATCTATTTGTGATTTTTCAAGCCACCAGGTCTGGGACTCAAACCACAGTCAACCATATGGGCACCCAGTGCCTTAATTACCATGCCACCTGCTTGCTCCACAAATATATGTTTTGAATATTATTATAAGGATTCAATACTTTTATCATTATTCCATTTTGAACTTTTATAGTACTTTCTGATAAGCCCAAAGGTAAAAGAAATCCTCTTGCTTTTAAAACATTAACTGCAAATTTTTTTTTAAAGAGAGAGATTTTTGCTATAGGGCATGTAAGCTCACCAGAGAGAGAGAGAGACAGAGAGACAGAAAGCGAGAAGTCTCACACCACCCTCCCAAGGCGGATAGCCACACTGCAATCCCTTCTCCTCCTTTCTTCCCTCGGAATTGGGCATGCACGTACATGTGCTCAGTGTGAGTTTGAAGCTACTGGGTCTGGGACTTGAACCACAGTTGACCACGTGAGAGTCCAGCAACGGAACCATTATGCCATCTGCTGGTCCCCTGTCTGCAAATTTTAATCTTAAAGAGGCAGCAATTTTAGTTCAAAGTCCTGGAGGAAAGACTCAGAAATCTGCTCTTGTCTTTCCAGTTCCTAGTTGTGTGACCTTGGGAAAGTCAAGTCTTCATCTATAAAATAAGGACCCAGTTAACTATTAGGTGTGCCGGGGTGCTTTGGAGGTCATGCAACACGGGTCCCTGGAGGGAGAAGCCTCTGTCTGTGCTCTTCTCCACCTTTGAAACCCCAGGGCGTACTTGGCACATAACGAGTGCTCCATAATTATTTGTTGAATAAATAAAAATCAGGTTTTAGTATATATTGTATACTGAGCCTGATGGTTTCTTGAAAAATTGTTATATAAATGGGAATTTTAAATCACTTTAGTCACTTCACAGGTCTAGGGTAATAAGTGAATTATATAAAGTTATCTGAGCTGTAACCAGACATTTTTCTTGAGTAATATGTCATTTGCATCCTCCTAGCTGTTTTTATTGGAAAACTGGGAAGGTGAGCAGTTTGAATTAGTGCCTCATAAATTTTAAGGGCAAAATGAAGGTACATCAGGATTGTTACTTCCCTTCATCCTCCTGCCTGTGCACTTCAGCGCCGTAAGGACCTGGGGTACTTTAGATTGCTGTTTTCTCTATTCTAACACTCTTACACCCCTTTTTGTATTAAATACATAATCTTCCTTCATGTAGGCTGCTGTATTTTCTCACTTTGTGGCTTATAGTTTCTTAGATTACCAGTTTTCAATTATCTAATTCTTGTTAAATATCATAATGTAGCTATAGGTAGAAAAGCAAAAACACAGTGTGTTTCCATTCAGACATAAGGGTCTAGGGTCAACCCTTAGTGCAGCAGTTCAATCCTGTGCATTGGGATCTAGAGCCACGTGGTTGACTGCTGTGTGCATCCTCCCCCTAGCAGCTTAAAAAACAGCACATGCATAGCCAAAACCGTGCCAGGATAGAAAAATGGAAGAGAAGGGATTGCAGCATGACCATACCATATTGGAGGAGTTTTTTTGCTCTCTCCTCTCTCTCCTCTTTCTCCCTGTCTCTATCTCTCTCTCTCATGAGTATATTCATTCTATGGCGATTTAAAAAAAAAGATTTATTTATTTAATTTTATCCTTTATTATTATTTACTTTTTTAATTTGACCAGAGAGAGACGGAGAGAGAGATAGAAAGAGAAAGTGAGAAAGCAAGCCACCAGGTCCAGGACTTGAATCATAGTTTACCATGTGGGAGTCCAGTGTCTTAACTACCATGCCACCTGCTGCTCCATTTGCCATGGCGATTTTAAAAATTCAGATATTAGGTCTGATATCTTCTTTGTTCCTTTGTCCTCATCCTTCAGTCCTTGTCCTTACTATGCATCCATTTTAAATTTCACTTTTGTCTTGCATAGTATGAAAAATAGTTAAGGGCCAACTGACAGCATAGTAAAGGTGGCTGGATCCCACATAGCCAGCTGAGTGGTTGGAGTCCCAAACCAGTCAGCTTGAAAAACAAATTGGCGGGACCAGCAGATGATGTAATGGTTACATTGCTGGATTCTCACATGATCAACTGCAGTTCGAGTCCTGGACCTGGCGACTTGAAACTCAGGCCAGGTGTGTGTGCATACGTGCCCAAAATCCTGAGAGGAGAATGGAGGAAAAGTGATTGTATGTGGCCATCCCTTCTTGGGGGTGATTTCTCACTTTCTGTCCTCTGAATCTCTCTGTCTTTCCAGTGAGTACATGCACCCTATAGCAAAAATCTCTCCAAAAAAAAGAGTGCCAGGAAGAAAGGAAGGAAGGAAAGGAAGAAGGGAAGAAGGTGAAAGGGGGGGAGGGAGAAAGGAAAGGTGAAAGGAAAAGAAAGAGAAGAGAAGGGAAGGGAAGGAAAAAAAAAAACTGGGCTCATGTGCTTGTGTGCCCAAAATCCTGAGACGAGAAAGGAATTGAGGCTGACCATTCTCCAGGAAGGTGCTTCTAAGGTGTGCACATACCCTACAGCAGATTAAATAAATAGGGCCAGCAGGTGTCATGGGGGTTATAGACCCCACATGGCCAGCTTTGTGGCGTATATTTTATATTTTCGCATTTATTTTTTAAGTTTTGTTTACTTTTTAGCTTATGAAAGAAATACTTATAAAAACAAAAAGTAACTATTATGGAGTAATGTGTACAGAAATTGAAGGCTGTCCACATTGCCATGCCTCAGAAATGTCCATTGTTAATACTTGGGTGTACATTATGCCATATTCTTTTCCCATGCATTTTTAAAAAAGAATTATTATATTTAACTTTATTTATTTTATTTACTTATTTTCATTTGACCAGTGAGAAACAGAGCAAGAGAGAGCGAGAAAGAGAGAGAAAATGAGAAAGCAAGCTGCCAGATATGGGACTCAAACCACAGTCGGCCATGTGGGAGTCCAGTGCCCTTAACCACCATGCCACCTCCCAGCCCCTCCTATGCATTTTTTTTTAAAGGTTTTTGCCTTAAAGCACATGCCCTCACTGGAAAGAGACAGAGACAATAAGAGGGAGAGTGAGAATTTACCCCCCAGGTGGTTACCATGCTGCAGTCCCTCCTCCTCTATTCTTGTGCTGGAATTTTGAGCTCATAACACACATGGCTGGTGTGATTTCCAAGCCACTAGGTCCAGGACTCTAACCGTGGTCAACTATGTGGAGTACAGAGCCTTAGCTACCACACCAAGTGCTGGCTCCTCCCATGCATTGTCTAATACATCAGTATATGTATAGGTATATGTGTGTTAACAGTTACCTGGTAAATATGTGTGTATGTGTATATACATGTATACATATGTTAATGTATACAAAAATGAGATTAAACTACAGATATAGTTTTTCTTTTAAGATATCTCTAATTCTTTCTACTTCAGTATTTATAGATTTATCTCATACTTTTTTACATGGATATATTATAATTTATAATATCATTTATAATTTTTATAATTTTTCCTTTGCATGGATATATTATAATTTACTTAAACATTTCCTCATTAATATTACATTTGTTTGAACATTTTCACTGTTTCAAGCATTGGTTAAGTCAGTAGTCTATGCTTTTACGTTTAAGTTATGGGAGTTTTTCTTTGGTGACCTTCTATAAGTAGAATTGTAGGGTTATATGCTATTTAATGTGTATTAAAAATGTGTGTTCTTGGGACCAGCATATGGCGGAATGGTTATGTTGCTGGACTCCCACATAGTCAGCTATGGTTCGAGTCCCAGAACCAGTGGTTTGAAACTCATGCCAGGTGCAGTTGACTGCATGTGCTCCTGTGTGCCCAAGATCTGGAGAGGAGAATGGAGGAAAAGGGATTGCCATGTAGCCATCCCCTACCGGGGAGGAAGGGATGACTTCTCGTTTTCTGTCTCGCTCTGTCTCTCCAGCGAGCACACACGCCCTGTAGCAAAAATCTCTTAAAAAATATGTAGGGGCCAGCAGGTGGCATGGTGGTTAAGAGTGCTGGACTCCCATCCCACATGGCTGACTGTGGTTCAAGTCCCGGACCTGGCGACTTGCTTTCTTACTTTCCCTCACTCTCTCCCTCTCTCTGGTCAAATTAAAAGAAATAAATATACAAATTTTTAAATATAATTTTTAAATATGTATCTTTCTCTTTTATGTAAAACTATTCATAAAGTAATTTAAACAAATGAGTTGCCATTGTTTTAAAGATAGATTAATCAGAAATGATACTTAACACTTTAATTCTTTTACTTTCTTATGTGATATTAGTCTTCTTTTTTTCCCCCTTAAGTTACCATTTATAAACAGAACTAAATAAAGCTGGGGAAAGACAAAGTATTTGGTAATGTTTAATCCTTGTTTTTAAAGTTTATTTATTGTTTTGACAAGAGAGAGAGAAAGGGAGAGACAGCACCCCCGCCCCCACAGCAGCCCTTGATGACAGGATCCTCCCCAGCCTTCAGCCAGCCTCAGCTCTTAGGCAGGCATGTACCTGGCATACTCAGGAAGGTCTCTGTGCCTGAATGGAGACCTTCCCACGTGCTGGTGCTTGGCAGAGCATTGAGTTTTACCCCTTCTTGCCCCCGAGGAGTTTCATTCTAAACTATAGTCTAAGCTATACTACCTAACATATTTAGATAGATAGGTTAATTTATCATTTAGTTATGAGATCAAATCAGTTGAAGTAAATAGAAACTAAATATTTTATGTTGACTCCACAGAGAACAGTATACTAAAAATATTGCTGAACAAGAAAACCTTGGAAAGGTAAGGATTATTATTTTTTTTACTGTGTCTGATTTAGGTTTTTAGTACATGACTATGGCATTGTCATTCTTTTTAAAGGTTATAGTACAGTTCAGTTTTTGCTGCAGGGTACGTGGGCTCGCTGGAGAGAGAGAGGGAAAGTGAGAAAGCTCCCCTGGGGAGGTGGCCCTCTTCTCCGTTCTTTTGGGATTTTGGACACACATGCACACCCACATGTACCTGGTATGCTTTTCAAGCCCCCAGGTCCAGGACTCAAACTGTGCAGTCGGCCATGTGGGATCCAGTCGCCTTCACCACCACGCCAGTGGCTGGCCCATAACACAGTTTTTGAGGGAAAGTTGTTCATCCTTTTCAGACAAGGAGCCCTCCTTAGGAATTCAGTTTTATAGAAGGGAAGGCACAAAAGCTTTTTTGTTTCCCCTCTCTTTTTTTTTTTTTTGGAGAGTTTTTTGCTAGAGGGCACATGCGTTTGGAGAGTTTTTTGCTAGAGGGCACATGCGCTCTCCAGAAAGAGAGACAAAAAGCGAGAAATCACCCCCCGAGGAGATGGCCATGCTGCAATCCCTTCTCCTCCATTTTCCTCTTGGGATCTTGGGCACATATGCACACAGGCACCTGGCATGCATTTAAGCCACTGGGTCTAGGACTCGAACCACGGTTGACTACATGGGAGTCCAATGACATAGCCATTACAGCAACTACTGGTCCCCATAATAGCTTTTGAAAGAAAAACCAGTCATGTAATTTTTTTAAAAATGACTTAGCTTTATTTACTTACTCACTTATTATTTTCATTGGACCAGAGAGAGACACAGAGAGAGAGAGAGAGAGAGAGAAAGCAAACCACCAGGTCCAGGATTCGAAGTATGGTCGGCCATGTGGGAATGTCCAGCACCTTAACCACCACACCACCTGCCATACCCCGCAGTAACCTAATTTTAAATAACAGAGCTCATGAAGCTTCTGCACTTCTGTTTTCAGATCATTCTCAGATATCTTGTGAGATATGTATAAATTAACTCATGTATTTTATTTAATAACACAAAGCTCTTACTGTGAGCCAGGCACTGGCCTAAGCCCTTACGAACATTGATTCATTGAGGTACAGTTTATATATATTTTTTTAAGAAGGCAGAATAACTGCTTGATTTGCTTGCTTACTGGCTTTCAAAATGATGAATTGATTCTTTATCATTTTTCAAAAATATCTGTATAACTCCAAGATTGAACATGTTTAATGTGTTTCAATCTGTTGTGATTATTATTCCTATCAGTGCTCAAATTGTCCCACCGTTGGCCAGTGTAAGTCACTTGAAGTCAGCTCCTGAATGCTTTTGAAACAACGTTAGAAGACTTTGATAGCTTCTTAATTTTCTAGTGTGACAAAATACTCCAGGTTCATCATGTAATATTTCCTGCCCCAAACCTGGAATCAGCCATCTCTCTAAACAGTGTTTATGTGTTCTTTCTTTGTCATTCGTGAACAAATAGCCATTATATCAATGAATATAAATTTAAAAAAATGAAAGCAAACCTCCTCAAAGCTGATTCCTGGTACCAGCAGACAGTGTGATGGTCACATTGCTGGACTCCCATGTGGCTGACCATGGTTAGGGTCCAGGACCCCGTAGCTTGAAAATCATGCCAAGTGCCCATGCATGCATTCGGGATTGGAGAATGGAAGAGAAGGGATTACAATGTGGTCATCCCTCTGGGGAATGATTTATCACTTTCCTTCTCACTGTGTCTGTCTGTCTGTCTGTCTGTCTGTCTCTCTCTCTCTCTCTCTCTTTTTCGCGCGCTCTCTCTCTCTCTTGCTCCAGCAAGCACACATGCCCTAAGGCAAAAACCTCTTAAAAAAATTTTGATTCCCCCATTTAGTTCATTAGTTAATTGGTTGGTTAATTTTGCTATAGGTCACATGTGCTCTTAGAAAGAAACAGAAAGGAGGAAGGAAAAGTGAGAAATCATCCCCTAGGGTGATGGCCATGCCACAATCTTCTCCTTTCTCCTCTTGGAGTTTTGGGCATGCTTGGCCTGTTTTACAGGCTGCCTGGTCCAGGACTTGAACCCCATAGTTGTCATGTGGGATCTAGCCTCCTTAACCACCACACCATCAGCTGGCCTCTATGTATGTATATTTGTATGCATATATGTTTTTCCAGAGGGCATGTGCACTAACCAGAGGGACAGAGAACGAGAGAGAGAGAAAGCACCTCCCGACAGGGCCTGGTGATACCACAGTCCATTCTCTCTCACTTCTCCGTCCTTTCGGGATTCGGGGTGCACACATTCGTGGACCTGCCATGCTCGTGCTGGGATTTGAACCGCACAGTCTGCAGAGTGGTACCCGGCTGCCCTAAGAAACACGCAATGGGACTGGTCTTGATTCCTCTACTTATCAAAAGACTGTGAATTCCATGTGTCTTATTCTGTTTCTGGGATGACACTCCATATTTGAAAGGAAAAAAACAGTTTTCATATTTGAAAGTATTGATTTGAATCAGATTTTAAACATTCATTTACATAGTATTTTAACTGGATATTTGAGAGATCTAGTGTGACTGTCAATAATTAACTTTCATCTAAAAGTACATTACATAAATGTAACTACATCTATGTAACATACTTTTTTAAAAAGAATTACGTATTTTAATTTTATTTATTCATTCATTTATTTTAATTTGACCAGAGAGAGAGAGAGAGAGAGAAAGCAAGCCACCAGGTCCAGGACTTGAACCGTGGTTAGCCATGTGGGAGTGTCCAATACCTTAATCACGGTGCTGCCTGCTGGCCCCTGTAATGCACTTTTTGGAATTAAAACATTTCTTGGGACCAGCAGATGGCACAATGGTTATGTCACTTGACTCCCATATAGTTGACCATGGTTCAAGGTCCGGACCCAGCAGCTGGAAACTCATGCTAGGCGCATGTGCGCGTGTGCCCAGAATCCCAAGAGGAGAATGGAGGAGCAGGAATTGTGGTATGGCCTACCCTTCAAGGGGTGATTTCTCACTTTTTGTCTCTCTGATGAGCACAAGCGCCCTCTAGCAAAAATCTCTCTTTAAAAAAAAATTCCTCTATTTTGTTTTGAAAAGTATCTGGATAAATATTTCTATACAGAAATATTCGCTAAACCTTAAACCCTTTCATAGACCCAAACTTAGCTGCTAAATCTTATTAAAGATTATTCTTTCCGCCTTCAAATGGAGTGTTACACTGCAGAATCTTTGGGAAAAGCCGCAGCAGCAGCCTGACATCAAATATAATTAAGCAAAATGAGGCAATGGCTGGCTCACTCCCCAGTTGTCAGGCTGTCTCATTTGAGAAACAAAACTCCTCAGTCCTCTCACCTGGAGAGTGGACCTGGCGATCTGGATTCCAAGGCGAACACAGACTAAACCTAACCTTGCAGGGTGGTACTAGTGTAAACCCTCCAAACCAGCATAGTCTAGGTATTTGTAGACCTCCTCAGGCCCACTGAGTTTCTCCCCTGCTAAACCACCTTCTCCTTAAAAAGCAGTGAATTCTGTGATAGGTATTTTTTGTACATTGCAACTACAAACAAAATAAATGTGCATTAAATGACAGTAAGGTTTAAAACAAGTTATATACTAAAGTCAGTTGTAATCATAAAGGTGGAGGTTTCAAACATACATGGTTATAAAGCAAATTATTATTTCTCACATAAACAGTGCCCACATCCTGTCTTTGGCTCTTTTTCTTTTTTCTTTCTTTCTTTCTTTCTTTCTTTCTTTCTTTCTTTCTTTCTTTCTTTCTTTTTTTTTTTTTTTTTGAAGAGGCGCTTGCTATAGGGCGTGTGCGCTTGCCAGAAAGACAGAGAAAGAGACAGAGACAGAAAGCAAGAAATCACCCCCCAGGGGGGATGGCCACACCTCAACCCCTTCTCCATTCTCCTCTCGGGATCTTGGGCACGCACGCACACGCACCCAGCATGAGTTTAAACCAACGGGTCCAGGACTCGAACTGCTGTCGACTATATGGGAGTCCAGCGACAGGGCCATTACGCTAACTGCTGGTCCCCTGTCTTTGGCTCTTGAAATAACTTTCATAAGTTGTTAGTAGTTTTGACCAGGAAATTATTCAATAATATAAGAAAAGTTAACAGTTTAAGTTGTACCTTAATTTAAAATCATGCTCAGAACTCAGCTCAGTTTTTGGTCTGCCTTAATGGCCTTTTTAATGCTTTTGTTTTAGTCTATTGAGGATATAAATATTTGTTACAAGGTACAGTGTTTGTAACACCAACTTAAACAGATGTACTTAAATACCAGGTATTGAATCAGAAATTGGCAGGTTATGTTTAAATTAAATTTTTGAATTCTGTTTTGATACCTGTGGCTGCTTGCTGTTCTTTGCTTTCACTGTCCATAGCTGGGGTTGGCGGTTTTAGTAAGTAGCTTGAATCTGGTCCTCAGCTTAGTTTATTCTCTTATTTGGGCAGGCACCAACTACCAGCATTCTCATGTTGTCCTAGATCAGCTCCATCAGCCATATACTAAAAGAGGAAGCAGTGAGGGTGCTCCTGGGAGAGCTGCTCTGCCCCTCGCTTGACTCTCGCAGTCAGTGTCAGTGCAGGCGTTTCTGCCACACTGGGTCCTTATATGTGCACCGTCCTCTTCTCTCTGTTGTCCTCTCCCCTCCCTCCTTCACCCCTCCCTCTGCTCTCCAATCCTCCCTCTCCTTTTTCTCTTTCCTTCCTTCCTTCCTCCCTTCCTTTCTCTCTCTCTCTCGCTTTCTGCAGTGTCTCTCATCTTTGACTTTGTGCCTACCCCTCCTCTCAGTCACCCTTCCTGAGTTTGACATAATATTGAACCAAGGTGTATTTTTGCAATGTATTGAAGACATTTTTATTGCTGTTTATCATTGTTGAGTCAGTGAGTGAAACAGTTTTGGTAGGTGGAACCATCTAGCTGTTAGTAACAGAAACTATTCTGATGAGGACTTTGGCCTTTTTAATAGTGTACCCGTTTTTAAAAAAAATTTTAAGAATTATTTTGTTTAGCTTTATTTTTTATTTTTTTAATTTGACCAGAGAGGGACAGAGAGAGGGAGAGGGAAAGTGTGAAAGCAAGCCGGAACTCAAACCGCAATCAGGCATGTGGGAATCCAGCATCCTTAACTACCATGCCACCTGCTGTCCCCAACTGTACCCTTTTTTTAGTCACTGGGCCTTTTTCCTGAGGAATATATACATATAACTTGATTTATTTGGACATACATAGAGCATACACTGTTTCAAGATATAACATTTAATAATAATAAAAATAAACATGGGGCCTGGTGTGGTGGTTAAGGGCGCTGGGCTCTCACATAGCTGATCGTGGTTCGAGTCCTGGACCTAGCGACTTGCTTTCTCACTTTCCCCCTCTCTTTCTCTTGCTTTGTACCTCTCTGGTCAAATTAAAAATAAATAAATAAATAAATAAAGTAAGTAAGTAAGTTTAAAAAAAACATGGTTAATACAGTATTTCTATATCTATTATGTCATGTGAAAAAATCTTATAAGACAAATACTTTAATATCCTTGATTACTATTACTTACATTGACAATTGAGAAAACTGAGGAGCAAAGAAATTAAGTGTCTTGCTTATAGGTAGTGACAAAGCAAAGACTAAAACTTGTCTTCCCACATCCAAAAATCTGCTTTTTTTTCCCTATACTGTTAAATGTTCCACTTCCCCAATTCCCTTTATTTTGTTCCCCTCCCTTCCTTCTTCACTTTGCCTTTTTTAAATAATTATTTTATTCAACATTATTTATTTATGTATTTATTTAGATTTGACCAGAGTGAGACAGAGCCAGAGAGAGGGAAAGTGAAAAAGCCAGCCTCCAGGTCTGGGACTCAAACAGCGCTTGGCCATGTGGGAGTCCAGTGCCCTTAAGCACCACACCACCTGCCAACCCCCCTTTTTTACTTTTCTGTTCTTTTAAACTTCAGGTTATCCTACATCTACCCTAAATTTAATTAACTTTATTATAATACTAATTTCAACATATAAGAGAACCTGGATCAGTTAACTATTATTTATCAAATGTACAAAACATCTTCTGACTGTAGCAATAGAAGTAAATTCTGTAACTGAAATTTAATTATTCTTGATTTTTTTTTTTTGGTAATAGAAACTCCGGGAAAAACAAAAAGCTGTACGAGAAAGTCATGGTCCAAATATGAAACAAGCAAAAATGTGGCGTGACTTTGAACAGCTAATGGAATGTAAGAAACAGTGCTTTCTGAAGCAGCAGAGCCAGTCTTCCATTGGTCAGGTAATTCAGGAGGGAGGAGAGGACCGGCTGATCCTCTGAATTCCTGTGTCCTCATTTGGGGGCTAGTTGCTACCACTAGCTATGAGCATAATCTCAAAATGTGCGTCTTGTCTTGAAAATGGTTTGTATAAAATTTCTTTCAGATTAGGATTAGCCATTGTTCATTAAGTTTTCTTGGAAAATAATGTTAAAGGTAGATTTAGGTTTTAAAGTTTTTTCATATAAAAAAAGGCTATTATTGTTTTACTTGGTTTAGAAATCAGTGGTGTCTTCTGAGTTTTATGAGACAGGAAACTAAGTTTACTCTCTGCAGATGTAAACATATGTCCATTAAGAAAAACTTGTAGTTTTTAAAAAAATGCAGTAACCCAATGGCTTAATGTTTCTCTTAATCTTTTTTTAACTTTAGAGGAATCTTTTAGGAACTAGTATCTCTTGTTTTGAAGAAACATTTATCTGAAGTTCAGCAATTCCTACAGTTTCACTTCAGTTTCTTTTTCTTCTGAAAAATGCTTGAAAAATGTAATATTTTTAATAACATTCTATTTGTGTAATTTAAAGGCAAATAAAACGTGTTGCATATATCATGGCTGTTTATTTTTAAATTATATAGTTGTGTCAAAATGTATTTTTAAGTGTTCATATTCTAGTATTATATTAAATTGAAGAATTAGAACTTATTTTTGCCAAAAGCATATTGTAGGTTGAATAGTAAAACAATATGATAGTGTTGGGGGGGCTGTTATTTTTAATATAAAAAATCGTCGTAGAATATAGATATTATAAATTGCTAAAAATTAGCACAGGATGTCAATTGGAATTCAAGAATTCATAATGCTTCCAATCTCTACTTCAAAACAAGGTACTTGAGTTCTTTGGCTTTCCTTATAGAAAGAAACTAACTTTATATGTAATGCTTTAACTTCATTTCAGTTTTGGTATAGTTTTAAAAATACCTTGGCTTTAGATTTGAAAACTCAGATTTCAAATTGTTAACATGTCCACCTTAAACTAGTACTTTTTAGTTATCCTGAAAAATGTTTTGTTTAATGAAGAAAGTTGTCTCTACCCTGTGTAAAATACGTAAGCATGGACCTCTTCGTTACCAAGGCATAGTTTGCTTTTTTTGCCATAGGACACATGTGCTCACCAGAAAGGAGGGAGACAGAGGGTGGGAAAGTGTGAGGTCACCCCCCAGAGGGGATGGTCACATCAGTTCCTTCTCCTCCATTCTCATCGTGGGATTTGGGGCATGCACACACATGAGCTTGGCATGATTTTCAAGCCATGGGGTCTGGGACTTAAACCACATTTGGCCATGTGGGAATTCAGCTGCCTTAACCACCATGCCACCTGCTGGCCCCTGTCCTACTTTTAAGTTTTGTTTGCAAGCTTCTGTACTGGCGATCAAAGAACCTCACTAACATGGAGATTATTGATATTCAAGTAGAGACAACTAGAACAGATAGGATCCATCAGATAAAGTAAGAACCAGACTTATTAGGAATGTGTAGAGGGACCAGCAGGTGATGTAATGTTTACATCACTAGACTCCCTCGTAGTTGACCACGGTTCAAGTTCCAGACCTGGCAGCTTGAAACTCACACCGGGTATGTATGTGTGCCCAAAATCCCAAGGGGAGAATGGATGAGAAGGGAGTATGGCACAGTCATACCCACAGGGCATGGACTAGATGCCCTTTCCAGAAACAATATTTTATTTTCCCAAAGAAAAGTCAACTCACAAGAGTACTAAGCCTACTCGGAACCAGCAGTGAGCATAATGGCTATGTCACTGAAGTCCCATGTAGTCAACAGTTCAAGTCCTGGACCCAGTGGCTTAAACTCACTCTGGGCGCGTGTGTGTATGCACCCAAGATCCCGAGAGGAGAATGGAGGAGAAGGGATTGTGGCGTGGCCATCCCCGCTGGGGGGTGATTTCTCGCTTTCTATCTCTCTGTCTTTCTGGCAAACGCACGTGCCCTATAGCAAAAACCTCTCCAAAAAAAAGAGTATTAAGCCTACTAATGAATTGGGTTTTTTAGCCTCCACTGTCTTTGGCACTCTTATTAATTTTTAAAATTGTTATCAACAGGGACCAGCAGTTAGCGTAATGGCTATGTTGCTGGACTCCCACATGGTCGACCACAGTTCGAGTCCCGGACCCGGTGGCTTGAACTCATGCCGGGTGTGTGTGCGTGCGTGCCCAAGATCCCGAGAGGAGAATGGAGGAGAAGGGATTGTGGCGTGGCCATCCCCGCTGGGGGGTGATTTCTCGCTTTCTATCTCTCTGTCTTTCTGGCAAACGCACGTGCCCTATAGCAAAAACCTCTCCAAAAAAAAAAAAATGTTAACAACAGACACTTCAAGGAATGCTTATGATTCTTCTGATTATTGCTTGCCATCTTTATTCTACACAGAAACAATGTGCGATTAAACATAAAGGCAGTTCCAAAATTATTAACCAAAGCAGAGCATCATTACTACTTCAAAAAAACCAAATTGGGGGGGAAAAACTCTAAAAGTAAAAAGTTATTTATAGTTTTATGTAACGTCGGACATTTAGTAATACAGCTTAATAGGTTTTGTGGGGTGACTTTCCATTCGTTCTGTGATATGATTGGAACACTGAAAACCTTTGACTAACTCTGACAGTTTCTGACAGCTGGAACTTAAGGAAGAAGAGCTTAGCGCATTTTTCTACAGGATTGATAATCTAACTCCTAATTGATGAGGTGCTTAATCATTTTGGAAAATAACTAGTCTTTCACATGATAGCCCAAATAAAGGAGAAAAATGTAGCCTGTGAAATCTGACTCCACGTTCACAGATTTCCTTCTCTTAGGACTTGGTGTTGCCAGCTGTTGTATAGGACTGGCTGTGTCAGTTGTAAATTTTTTTTTAAATTATTTATTTATTGAGGCCAGCAGGTGGCGTGGTGGTTAAGGGCGCTGGACTCCCATATGGCCAACCATGGTTCGAGTCCCAGACCTAGTGGCTTTCTCTCTCTCAAAACTCTCTCCCCCCCCCCCCCCCCCCGTTCCGCTCTGGTCAAATTAAAATAAGTAAATAAAGTTAAATAATTTTTTAAAAATTATTTATCTGTTTATTTGTTGTGATTTTTTCAAGCCATTGGGTCTGAGACTCAAACCATATTTGACCATATGGGAATCCAGTGCCTTAACCACCACGCCACCTGTTGTCCCATCAGCTGTAAATTTTAAAAAGCCACTAGTTATCTTGCTTTCTGTATTATTTCAGGAAACAATACAATTTTGAAGGTTGTCCTAAGAATCATGTAATAGGACAATACATTTTCAATTATAAATCCATAATACAGTGGAATCCACAATCATTATTTTCCAGATCTGGAGAACATACTGTACGAATCTTAGAACATTGTTCAAAAGCATATGGAAATCAAAGCAGAGTCTACAAAACACCTTGTCCTTTAATATCTTCTATCATTTTGCTTTGATTTGACAGGCAGTAATGATAAAAGAAGGCGCCATTTCATTAAACTATAAAATAAATGCAGTACACTGTTCTATCAAAATAATAGTATATATAATATCTGTTAACTTTTTTTTGGAATTGTTTGTTTTTGCTATAGGATGTGTATGCTTGCGAGAGAGAGTGAGAAATCACTTCCATGGGGATAGCCATATCGCAGTCCCTTCTCCTACATTTTCTTGTTGGACATGCACACACACACACTTAGTGTGTTTTTCAAGCTGCTAGATCCAGGACTCAAAACCATGCCATGGGGGACCAACAGGTGGTGGGATGGTTAAGGCACTGGACTCCCTCATGGCCAACCACGGTTGGAGTCTTGAACCTGGTGGGGCTTGCTGTCTCACCTTCTCTCTCTTTCTTTTATCAGATTAAAAAATAATATTAAGGGGTCAGCCAGTAGCGTAGTGGTTAAAGTGCTGGCCTCCCATGTGTTTGATTACAGTTCAAGTCCTGTGTCCGGCAGCTTGAAACTCATGCCAGGCATGGGTGCATGGATGCCCAAATTCCTGAGAGGGGAACGAAGGAGAAGGGATTGTGGTTTGGCCATCCTCTTCCTCCCCCCACGGGGGGGTGATTTCTCACTTTCTATCTCTGTCTCTCCAGTGAGCTCAGAAATATAGCAAAAATCTCTCAAACATAATAATAATAATTAATCAAATAAAATAATTCTTAAAAATTATGCAGTGGGCCATGTGGGATCTAGCCATCTAAACCACCACACCACCAGCTAGCCATGAATTTTTAAACTCTGCATTTTCCAAGTAGTTTCTTCAGCTTTTAAACTAATATCATACAGAGCACTTTTTGCTGACTTGAGTAAGAAGCTAAATGTTGCTCAAACTAAAAATATATAAACTTGCAAAATTCTTCTGAATTGAATTTGAAAATATGTACAAGTGTGTAACTTGCCAGAGCTGCCTTTACAAAGGCAAAGTCAAAATTTATATTGAAAATTAACTGTATGGAGGTGTGTGTCTTATAGAAACTTTGTCTTATCCAGGCTTTTTCCTGACACTAGTGACTAAAGAATGTGAATGAAAGACTTGTTTCTACAAAGGGTTCCGGGTGCTTACGTCATTCCTTTTGCTTGGCATGAAGGAGTGGTTAGCCCTAGGGTGTGAGTAAGATAGCACCCTGACGATTAGCTTTCCTTAAACTTGGTTATATCAGTACCTTCTCCATGTCACATTGCGTTGAGGTGAGATTGAGGTTGTATTCACAACAAATTCCATCTTGGGAGCAGTTTATGGCAGCTAGAAGAGAAAGTTACACCTTTATTAGATACGTAATTATTTCTCTTTTTTTTTTCTTTTTTTCTTTTTTTTTTGGGGGGGAGGTTTTTGCTATAGGGTACGTGCACTCACCAGACAGAGAGGAACAGAGAGACAGAAAGCGAGAAATCACCCCCCAGGGGGATCGCCACGCCGCAGTCCCTTCTCCTCCATTCTCCTCTCGGGATCTTGGGCACGCACGCACACACGCCCGGCATGAGTTTTAAATCACCGGGTCTGGGACGTGAACCACGGTCAACTACGTGGGAGTCCAGCGACAGCCATTAGCTAACTGCTGGTCCCTAAATACGTAATTATTTCTCTACTTATGCTGGCTTAGTCCCTCTTCCCCTTCCTTTTAATGAGAGCAATTTAATTAGAGCTGTTTGATGTGTGGCAGCCCCGTGTGAGATGTGTTTTGTCTGGGGAAGATAGAGAAGGGATCATGAAAAGTATTCTGTGTATTTTTTTATCTTTGACCCTGCTGTCTTAAGATAGTCTTAAAAAGAGACAGTTGACTGTAACTATTGTGTAGTCATACTCCATCCTTGCAAAAGAAATCAGAAAATAAAACACAGAATCCAAGTGAATTATTTTTTTAGAAACTTGGACAAACATATGCTTTCTGCTCCCCTGCTCCCTCTTTTGGCAAACCGAAAGCACTTTCTTGGCAATCACCGATAATTTCACAATTTCCTTTCTAGAATTGCTGAGAGGCTTGAGTCACCAAACTTGGTTTTACTGCTATGGAAATTCACTATTTAGAGCACAGGAAGAAATGAAAGATAT